ATAATGTTTAAGCAAGTAAGGTCAAACAGGTTTTTCATCTTCTCCTTTTTTATGCTTAATTATTTCTTCTTGACATTCGTCATAACACCAACCGCATTGTATTCAGTTTTTTCAGAACTATATTCCCCACCATGACCAGCTTCGTAAGTTCCACCATGCATAGTAGTTCCACTGCGACCAACATCTTGGCTAGCTCCGTCATAAGCACCACTTGTTTGACCTGAAACTTCTTCCCGTTTGGCTAGTTCACATTATTGTTTAAGGAAAAGGTGAAATTAAGAAAGAAAGAGGAAGAAAATAAGAGATTAACTAAAAAGGTTGGAGTGGAGGTGCTTAGGCAGTTTGAAGAAGGATTTTTTTGGGAAAACAATAGTTATTATTTAACTAATAATCTTTTTTAAACGTTGCCAGTCACTTTTGTCTAATAAGGAACTTTTGCGTAAATGTCTTTTTTGTTTGGGTGTCTTGCTATAAGCCAAATGGGAAGTATAAGCGTGCCAGTGTTTTAATTTTTTCCCTACTTTTTTAAAGCGTTTGGTGAGGGAACTTTTGGAGTGTAATTTTGTTTTTCCGTTCATATAATACAATTTATTACCAAAAATGCTAATTCATGATACCTACCCGGCTTTTTTAACTAGTATATTTATGGAAGTAATTAGTAAGGGCAATTTGAAAAATGCAGTAGTTGTGATAATTTAAAAATTTTTAAAATTTTTTTCCGTATTGGGACACCATCCTCGGCCAATCACAGTTTTGTTGCTGTGATAGATTGGGAAGTTAGTTATCGAACGGGATATATCAATGCAAATAATAAAACAAAAGATTTACTCTTTTTTAATTTGACAACGAAAACAAATTAATTTAAGTGGTAAAGTAAAATACTTGTTAAATGCCTGAATTACCAGAAGTAGAGACTGTCCGCCAAATATTAAGGTCCGAGATACTTGGAAAAAAATTTCGAAAAGTAGAAATTTACAAGCCAAAAGACGAAACAAATAAACGAGTAAGCTTAATTAAAAACCTCAGCGAGGAAGAATTTATTAATTCGCTAATAGGAAAAACTATCTATGAAATAGAAAGAAAAGGAAAATGATTATTTTTTCTTCTTGCCGACCAAGCAAAAAATAAAACCCACGTATTAATCAGTCATTTAGGAATGACCGGAAAATATTTTATAGAGGAAAAATTGCTGACCCCAGAACAAAAGAAATTGTTTGAAAAGCACAATAATGAAAGTGCAAAAGGTTTAACTTTTTATTTAGAAAACGGGCAAGAACCAATAAGGTTAACTTATCGGGATGCTCGCCGATTTGGGGGCTTCCGTCTACAAACTTTTGAGGACTACAAAAAAACGGAGCCTTACTCAAATATCGGAACCGATTTGCTGGATGAAAAGGTGGATGCTGAATTATTATTCAAACATTATCAAAAACGCAAAATTCCCATTAAAAATGCTTTATTAGAGCAAAAAATAATTAGCGGAATTGGTAATATTTACGCTTCAGAAATACTTTTTGACACTAAAATTCATCCTTTAAAAAAAACCAACCAACTTACTGAATCAGAAGTAAAAAATATAATTTGTTCGGCTCAAATTATTTTAAGAGAGGCTTTAAAACGAGGAGGAACTTCGGAATTTGATTTTGTTAATCCTTTAAGCAAAGAAGGCTCTTATCAAAATAGATTGAAAGTCTATAATCGAAAAGGAAAACCTTGCCATAACAATTGTGGAAGTTTAATTGAAAAACTAGAAATTAACCAAGAAAAATCCGCTGAAAAAAAACCGAAAGAACGAAGCACTTTTTTTTGCCCGCAATGTCAAAAAAAATCCGACCCGGATTAACCATTTATCAAATAGCCGAGGCGATAATATTACTTTGTTAATAATTAGTGTTGGTTAATCATTTCCTAGCAATTAAGGAGTTAGAGATTTAAAATACTAACCATTTAATTTTGACTTTGTAATATATTAATTCTGTATTACCAATCACGTTAAATTTCCTCAGCAGTTAACTTGGTTTGTAATCGTTCTTTAGTTTGTTGTGATTGATTTTCGATTAATTATTTTTAACAATTACATCTTTTTCAGTGACAACACAACAGCAGGTCTGAATTACACATTCCCAACTCTAACCCTATTTTAATGGAATTAGCAGAAAAATGAGCCCAGAAAGAAGTGATTTCATTTCGTTAACGAACAATACAAATCAGATACAAATTTTTAAAATTCAAGTTATAAATGCTGAGTTTTACTATTCGCAAAGAAGAGAGTGACCAAACTCTCATTAGTTTTTTAAGGAAAAGATTTAAAACTACTCCGTTAAGTCTAATTTACAAACTTTTTCGCACCAAAAAAATAAAAAGCAATGGAGAAAATATTCGCTATTATCATCATCGCTTAAAAACCGGAGAAAAAATTGTCATCCAAGATAATTATCTAAAAATTTCGACAGTAAGATCCACTATTTATCCACTTGCTCAGTCCAAAATATATTTTGGGATTATTTATGAGGACAAAAACATTTTAATTGTTATCAAAGAGCATGGAATAACCATGCCGAGTCTGGATAATAATGTCCGGTATTATTTAGCAAAAAAAAGCCCCGCTGAATACCAGCAACAAATAGAAAATTTTTTTGTTCTAACGGCCGCTCATCGGCTTGACAAAGTAACCAAAGGACTAGTGCTCTATCCAAAAAATCCACTGGTAAAAAAAATGTTCTATAAGGTTATTAGTGACAAAAACAAGATAACTAAAAAATACTTAGCCTTCTGCGAAAAATTATCCCGTTCTGAATTACCCAATTATATTAGCGGTTATTTAAGTAAAAACAATCCCGAGCAAAAAATGCAATTTTCCTTAAAGCCCACCACTCCCCGAGCTAAATTTTGTGCATTAGAGGTGAAAAATCTCGGGTCAATAAGAAATTATCAAAAATTAGAAATCACCTTACACACGGGGAGAAAGCACCAAATCCGCAGCACTTTATCTTATTTTGGTTATCCGATTGTTGGTGATAAGAAATACGGAAGTTCAGTAAACACAATTAATAAAATCGGCTTGTTGGCTTATCAGTTAGAGTTTCATCATCTTCCCTCGCCGTTAACTTACCTGAATAACCGAATTTTTGCTATCCCCGAAGGAGAAAGAGAATTAAAATAATTTAGCACCAAACAAAGATTTATTTTTATCACAACGCTCGGAGTAGTGTTTTTTAAAGATTACTAAAAAAATGATTAATAACTAGAAGTTATGCCAAACGTCCAAGAATGATTAAACCAAAAATATCCAAACAAAGAGGAAAGGAAGAATCTTGTCAAAATAGAAATTATTAAACAAAATTGAATTACTACTTACGGAGAAAATCTGCAAGGTCATTTAGATTTGAGTGATTTTGTTAATTTGGAAGTGGTAAGATGCGAGTGAAACAAATTAACTAGCCTCGATTTAAGCAATTGCTCAAAATTAACTAGATTAATTTGCAATTCTAATAAACTTACACGATTAAATTTTACTAATTGCCCTAATTTAGTGGAGATAAATTGTTGAAGAAATGAAATCACTGCCAATCTTAATATTTTTTCTCGCTTAACCAAATTAAAAAGATTAGATTTAGGAATAAGCAAAGAAATGAATGAAAAAAATCCCAATTTCAGCAATAATAATTTTTCTGGCTCCTTAAAAGCCTTAAAAAATTGTAGAGAGTTAGAGTATGTGTGTATTGGTTACCAAACTAATATAAAAGGAGGTTTAGAATATTTACCTATTGAGAAATTAACTTATTTTGGTTGTGACAACACCGAATTTAAGGAAGTATTAAAATCCTACAATTATGATGTTTATGCTTGACAATTAGCCCATCCCGAGTTAATGGCAAAAGTGAAGCATCCCGATAAAGAAAAAGTAATTATGGAATTAGAAGAAGAAATTACTGAAAAAGATAAATTGGTCAATGAATTAGAACTAAAAATAGCAGATACTAAAAAAGAATTAGAAAATGTTAAGACTAACGAAGCCGAGAAAACTGAAAAAATTGCTCGCCTAGAAAGCAAATTAAAAGAGTTAGAGAAAGCAAAACAAAATTTAGAGAATGAGTTAAAAATCGAAAGAGACCATGCCAAAGACTTAGACGAATGATATCTACGACAAAGTGAACTACCCACCACCTATAGAGGTGGGGGCTTCTAACAACTCAGAAATTATTTCTCAATTCTACACAGCGCCCATTGGCACTGCTCCTTGAAGGCTAGTTCCTAACCCTTCTGCTCTTTTTAAGATATTCCGAGCAGCATTAATGTCTCTGTTTTCTTGGTAATCACATTCGAAGCAACTGAATTTCCTTTGGCTTAATTTCAGTTTGGGTTCTCTTAACTTGTCGCAGTTGCTACATATTTGACTCGTGTTTCTTGCATCAACTCCAACTACACTTTTACCAGCTTCCTCCGCTTTGTAATTGAGTATAGTCAAAAATAGGTTTCAACTAGCATCCACGATGCTTTTTGCTAAAAATCTATTTTTCACCATATTCTTAACTCGTAATTTTTCGTGAGCGAGAAGGTCGTATTTCTCAACTAACTCTTTTGCTAACTTATGGGCTGTATCTTTTCTTTTATTAGTCACTTTTTCATGCTTCGCGGCTAATATTCTCACTGCTTTCCTTCTCCGTTTGCTTCCTTTTTTTCTCCGATTTACCTTTCTTTGGGCCTTGGCTAGTCACTTTTCTAATTTTCGATAGATTTTTTTGTCTTCTTTTTTCTCTCCATCAGAAGTGGTTAAAAAGGAATTTAGACCCATGTCAATACCCACTTTTTTATTAGTTTTCTTCTTTGGCTTCACTTCTATATTTTCACACGAAAAACCCACATAGAACTTGCCATTTTTGACAATTATCGAACAAGTTTTTATTTTGCCTTCTAATTTTCGGTGTTTCTTAATGTTGACTGTTCCTAAATGAGAAAGCACCAACTGGCTATGCTTTAAATTGAAACCAGATTGGGGATAGGTGAAACTGTCATATCTCCCATATTGTTTAAATCTCGGATATCCAGCTTGCCCTGATTGATTTTTCAACCTCCGGAAGAAGTTTTGAAAACTTTTATTAACTCGTCTGGCTACATCTTGAAGTACTTGTGAATGAACTTCTTTTAAAAAATTATTAGTTTCTTTTCTAGTAGGTAAGGAGTTAATTTGCT